GAGTTTTCCTTAAAGGCGCTGGGCACGAAGCAAACCCACGCAGCCACCGGGAACACAGCGCATCCCGAGGGAGCCTCCCGCCAGCTCCCAGCCGAGGAGCGCAGGGCTCCCTGCTCAGCGGAGCAGAGCTGCAGGAGCCAGCGAGCCCCAGGCTCAGCGGCCACAGGGCTGGCTCCCAGCACCAAGCTTGTCCTTCTGCTCAGACCAGGGATGGGTTTTGCTCTGTCTTGCAGGGAATGGGTTAACGCAGCCGTGCCTGCAGTTACCCTACGCAGCTCTCTCCTTCCTAAATCCAACTCGTGCACCGTCAGCCCTGCTTTTGAGGGAACAGGAGCCACAGATGCCCAGGAAGCTTTTAGGATGGGCTGATGCCCAGGGCTCTGCAGGAATGGGGCCACAGCTCTGCACCCAACCCCTTTGCACCAGGTTAGCTTGCAGTGCTGCCATGTAAATCAATCTGCCACGCAGCAAACCCCAGTACTGACCAGGGGCTTTCAGAGATGCTGTTAAAGAGCTGATACGCAGAAAGAGGTGAGAGGCTTCCCTCGAGAGTCCTTTAAGAGTCAAAAAGCATAGATGGGAGGGAAGAAATATTGTTAAAATCTACTGTGATGGGCTATATCAGGCTTTTTCTGGACACTTTCTGTCTTTTCCTGACACAAAATGTCTTTGGGTACTGGTGGAGCTGCAGAGAAGGGATAGGTCTCAGCAGACTCAAAAACAAAGTCAGCTCTCAAGCTACAGAAAAGCTGCTTCCTTGAACCCAAACTGATTTCCTCCCTGTGACAAACACCCTCGGTCCCACTGTCACAACGCAGCTCCCGGGTGCAGGACCTTACCAGGGGGATGCTTAATGCAACAAGGGAGATATCCCGAGAACTCGGGGAGCACGAGAGGCATTCCCACCCCCAGCCAGTTGTGAAATACTGAACCCAGCCCCTCACAGCAGCCTGGGTCCTAAATTATTACAGGTATTATTTATTGTACAGCCTGTAGAGCTGTCAGTCCCACACCAGAGAGCCGTAAACCAGGGAGCCTACACTGGAGGAAGGAAGCAGGATGTGTGTTTCTTGCTGGTTCTTGCTTGTTTTTACAAAGAGGAGGAGCAGCTCGGCACTATTTGGGGATGGAATACCTAAAACCACTTTAAGATAGGCGAGAAGGTCGGACAGGAGGATGACACCTTCCAAGGACAAAAATAAACATGACACCGTTGCAGGGGGTACCCCAACCTTCTCCTAGGAGGGAGAGGATTTTAGCACTGCTTCACCAAGGTCCCCTCTGCCTGGGGATACCGCATCGCCCCAGCACCCCAGTGCCCATCACCGTCACCAAGGTCCCCTCTGCCTGGGGATACCACACCCCCCCAGCACCCCAGTGCCCATCACCGTCACCAAGGTCCCCTCTGCCTGGGGATACCGCATCCCCCCAGCACCCCAGTGCCCATCACCGTCACCAAGGTCCCCTCTGCCTGGGGATACCGCACCCCCCCAGCATCCCAGTGCCCACCCCCCCAGCATGGCCAGCACAAGCCCCCAGCAGCGCAGCAGGGCCAAGGTGAGGGCTGAGGAGCTCTGCGGGGCTGGGGCAGATGCCTGGGGCCAAGCACAGACCCCCACCACACCGGGAAGGCTCTTGCTGCTGGCGTGACCTTACCCAGCGACACAAACAGGGCAGGCAGCGCTGGTGGGACAGGCTGGCAGATGTTAGGGCTTCCCCATATAACACATCACCCAGGGCTGCCTTCACCAGAAGGTTTCCCGACTTCTGCGCTTGTTTTTCCTCACTAAAGTGTCTCCCCGGGACCGGCTCCTGCCAAGTGATTTACCAGGCAGCGGAGGGGAGAGGACGGAGCCAGGCTCTGTCGCAGGTAGGGAGCTATTTATACCCGTGCCACATCAAAGGGTTTCTGCTGCTGACGCCACGGCAGCACTAATAGCAGAAAGTGGGTGGGTTTGCGAGGCTGGCAGCGCTGTGGATGTCCCGGGGTTTAGGCAGAGCTCCCCGCAGCCGAGCCGTGCGTGCTCTACAAGGCTGTGCCCAGCTATGCTTAGAGAGTGGTTTGCAACACCATGAATTTGCAGGGGACTGTCTACAAGACAGGCCCAATATTTGGAACTTTCGCAGCTGTAATCAGGGCATTAACAAGGATTTCAGGCAGACATCATCTCTCAAACATCCATCAGCTAAACTGAAGTCACTTGTGGCCTTGTTTTCAAAGACTTCCAGCTGCTAGTGAGTCAGGCTATCGACTGAAATACAGGTCTTCAGGGAGAGCTTTGGGGCTGCATGCTGGCAGCCTTGGTTGAACATCACACAGCTTACACCCCCCCCAAGCAAAGCTCCCTCCATCCCCTCCGCCCCCGGGTCCCCAGCCAGCGTGGGAAGGTCTCCTGGCCATTTCTGCTGGTCTCTCTTGCTTTCTCACATGCTGTGCTAGTCCCCACAACTGCCCGTGGACCCCAAGGTCTACCTGGAGGTAGCGTGACCCTGGTCTGGCTGTGGGGAAGCCTCCAGGTCCCACGGAGCTCTTCAGCTCCAAAACCCTGGGGATTTAGCAAGGGCTTACTGCAGCAGAGCTGAGGATCACACAGCTCAGGCTGGATTGCCACCACCCTGAGGCAGGAGGGGATTGCAGGCAGAGATGGGATCTGGCCAGTTCAGGGGAAGAAAAAGCCCAAACCCAAATAAAACTTACTGTAAAGCTCAGGTCTCTAATTCAACCTGCTCAACTCAGCAGAAAAGCAGTAAAACGCATTTTTTCAGGCCCACTCATAACATCACCTGCTTTATTATGATTAGATTTTACCAGTCCAGCGACTCCAGTCCCAAACCCAACGCTCCCAGCCCACGCCTCGGCACTGAAGGCAGATCCCGGCTCAGTCTCCTGCACAACGAGGTGCTGAGCCGGGCACCAGCACAGGGGTTTGTCTAGCTGGGGCTGGGACACCAGAAGAAAACTCCCACTGAGACCCTCTTACAATGAGGTGCTGTGACCTGCGATGTACACGGATGCACCGACCAATTATTAGCAAAAAGCACTTAGAAGAGGCAGAGAAACCAGAGACAGCTTGAAGACTGTGCCTTAACACAGATGTCCTGCTGGGATCGCATCCAAGCGCCCTGCCTGCTCCTTGTGCTGGGATGAGAAGGACTAGACAGGTCTATTTTGTCCCCAGGTGAAGCTAAACCTCTCGCTGCCGTTAGCAGGAGCTGCTCCTGGGCATCGGGACTGCCTCATCCGTGGCACACCGCACGCTTGTCCCACTAACACACCAGATAGCCCACTTGGAGAAGCACAGCCCAAGAGCAGCAGCTCCTCTGACAGCGCTTTGCTCCATCACGGGTCCATCTAACATCATAAAACTGATGCAAAAGGCACAAGCGGGACAGCCCGGCAGCGCAGGGCTCTCCCCACTCACGCCAGGGATGCATTTGCTGAAGCAGAGTTTCCCCGTGTGCTGCAGTCAGGGCTTTCCCCCCCCTCACAGAGATTTTTCTCCTGTCTTTTCCAGGATATTGGGTGATCCGGGCTGCCCCCTCTCACTACACCCCCCCGCTGCTCTGAGCCGCTCCCCTCCCTTCACCCTCCTCGGGAGGAAAGAGCAGGAGCCGCTGATCAAATATTGATCCTTATCAAGCCAGTTCCACTACAGTTACATTAATTGGTGATTGATAAGACGCAGGAGTGTAGCCACGGGGCTGGTGCTGGGCTAGAGCACCCATCCCGATGCATCCGGTCCCCAGCTGGTCCCACACCCCGGGAAAGGGATGCCCAGAGCCTTTCCTCCCTGGGCGCACAGCCTCCCGCACACCAAGGCACCGGGGCTGCTAAATCCACCCAGCAGCACTGGGCTCGCTGCTGACCACTCACCAGCGCCACGTCACCCCGTGCACACGGACGAGCCCACGTGTGGGCACCCCACGTGGGGAGACGCCAGACGCCAGCTGATTCACCCCTGCAGACCACACGGCCATGGCGGGTTCAGGCAGGAGGCTCAGCTCCTCCACGGGATCGCTCCGGGTGCCACGTGTCAAACAGAGAAGCGCATTGGTTTCCATGGATATGGCGATTCAGAATCGCTCCAGATGTAGACTGGTTCGCAGCGCGCTGCGAGGAGGCCTGCGGAATTCCTCGCGAGGCAGGACCGCGGCCCCCAGCCCGTTCAACGGAAAGCAGCAGAACCAGACCCAAACCCCCCAAAAGCTTTCCCCAAATAATGTCCCACCCCTGCGTTTCAGAGGTGCCCCAGCAAACTCACCTAACTTTTCTTCCTGCAGCAAGCAAAGCGGGTTTGCACGGCACGCTACCCCAGATTAGGATTTTCCTTCTTAATTTCATTTCTAAAAGCACAATATGTTTCAGCCAACAGCTCACAGAGGCAGGCAGTGTGCTGGAGGCTCCTGCTAGGGAAGGCACAGGGACATGGCCATGCTGGGGGTTAGGACCACAGGGCACCCCAAACTTCCAGCAGCCACCAACCTTCCAGCACAAACCAGTCAGACCACACAGAACCAGAGCAAAAGCAGTGCCAGCACCCAGCCATACCACCCCCAACGGAGCTCAGACCTCCCTCCCCAGCCATGCTAAGGGGTAAAACCCTACACCCACCCCTCGTCACAGCATCCTGCACCGCTGCACCTCCACACTTTCCTGCTGGTG